TAAAAAAATGAATTTATACAATGCTAGAAAATTGTAGATAAAAAATGAATTTATACAAATTTAAGATTTAAAAAAATTAATTTACACAATGCTAGAAAATGTTAGTTTAAAAAATGAATTTATACAATGCTAGAAAATTGTAGATAAAAAATGAATTTATACAAATTTAAGATTTAAAAAAATTAATTTACACAATGCTAGAAAATGTTAGTTTAAAAAATGAATTTATACAAGGCTAGAAAATTGGAGATAAAAAAATGGATTTATACAATAAAATGGTATAAAATGTTAGTTTAAAAAAACGAATTTATACAATGCGAGAAAATTATAGATAAAAAAATGAATTTATACAATTCTAGAAAATTTTAGATTCAACTAAAGTATTTGTACTAACTCAAAGTGTTTGTTTTCCGTGTAGATATGTCATTCTTGTGTGTCGTGTTGAGAGTGCCAGTGAGATATTGATTTTTGTGTATTTATACGTTTGATTTTGAAGGGGTGGGGAAGGAAATCGGGAGAAAAAAAAATTGTGTAATTATTTAAGTCATTTCCTTTTCTTCCCTAAGAACTCGATTATGGATTTAGGGCTTATAACTGGTCTTTCGTATGAAGTCCTATCGTTTCCCAAATCTCCACAACCTGAAATACGTAAAAAGGTATATATATCTTGATTTTTTGGGTTGTCCCAAACAACACGGTTTTGGAATCAAAACGAGGTTTCTTGTTAGAGATTCAGAGTTTGCAAATAGGAGAAAACATTGAAATTAATTAGCCGGAAAATCGAGATGAGTTGTTTGTACAAGGCTTTACAACTAGTTAATGTAATTGTGGGCTAATTTCAAACTATATTGAAACAACTTGGAATTACCTGTCAAGTGTCGACTTGGAGAGGCACTAATACATTGTGATCGGTGATGAACGCTCGGGGCCAAACTGTTCATTCAACTTGGAAGGACACACCATTAATACTCTTATACAGCCGTTATTATTTCCGTCCAAACATGCGGCTGTTTGTCCCACAAAGAGTACAAAGGGAATGAAATTTTTTGTAAAACTCGTGCCAAAACTTTTTTTTACTTCACTTTATCCAGACAAAAATCTACGCAGTTTTGTACAATGTGATATTTCATTAATGATCATTTATTAAATTTTAAGTTGAGATATTTTTAAAGTTGTATTATGGTGGGGTTTCAATTTTGGTAAACTTCATTCGAACCAATTTTAACTTAGAAGGTTATATCTCGAACCGAATTTGACCTCACGCTCGTGTATTGCCTGTTACTTAACGGTTCAAAATCGTTGTGAACTTGGTATTGAGTTAAAGTCATTAAGACGTTATCCCTTCTGTAATAAAATGGATTATGTTCTAAATGGCGCGTTGGGCAATTAATTTGCATAATCACCGAGAGGAGCTTTAATCTCCAATCTCTGTTAAATTCCTAGTATCTCGATTTTCAAAATCGGCGGAAAATGGGTTGGCAGTTGCTCGGGCGGATCGTGACGCGGTCTTAAGGAAAGCTATTCGTACAACTCCAATTTACATTATTTACCACACTCTAAGCTTTTCTAAATAGATGTATGTATTCCTCAGAAGGTCTTATACACCCAGACCTTTTACGTAATGGTATCAAAGTCTCTCATTTAAGACTTTACCAAAAAATGGCATACCGTACTAATCCTATTATCGTGCAATGATTGATGAAGATTTGCTAGTAAATGTTTTTCCTAAAACACTGCAGCCAAGTGCTTTTACAAGTAAGCCTATCTGACATCCTACACCCCTCTCGCTAAGTGATAAAGACGTTTAACCTACGCGTTTAATTAATTAATTAAAAGAAAATAAGTTAAAAAAATACTCACACACTTTTGTAAAACGTATCACCTTGACCTCTGCTACCAGTATTTATGAAAGCTAAAAGGATCCCCTCAGAAAAAGGTATACATAAGAAAAGAGAAAACAAAATTTAGCTAATCCTTCTAATTTGAAAAATAACAAAAAGTACAAAAATTATCAAAAAATGAAATAAGGCTTTACTCAAAATAATACTCAGCTGAAATACAAACTATTAATTTTTAAATTTAGGAGAGAAAAGAAAGTAACTGCTTGACTAGGCGGCCGAAAAGAGAAGAGATCAAATCTTTTTTCTTATTTTTTTTTTGAAGAGAGGTATCGATGAACCCACGAAAAACTGACAATTTTTTGTGGCGCCATCTTTCAGGTTGGGGCACTTTTCAAAAAATTCTGCAAGATATACTAAGCATGTTATAACCTACAACTCTAATTCGAAAAGACACCTGCCAACATTAGTTTCTACTAGGTATGGGAAAAAACCACTCTTTTTAGGATTGGCTCCAAACTCACACAAAAAATCAGTTGTTTTCCTGTCTCACAAAATTGATCACACCCATAATTCCATCAGTTGATTGGGTTTGGTCTGCGAGTCGGTGAATTCTGAACCGGCATTAAGTTAATTATTGTTGGACGGACCGGCCCAAACCCGCGAGTGAGGACGGACCCAAAGTGACCCTATGCCAGGTCAGACTTTGCTCCAAACTTTGAAGTTTTTTTTAAATTTCAGCACCAGGGCCTTAAAGGTTGATTGGTTGAATTACATAGCTGATATAAAAGAAATGACTACAAAAAGAAAAATTAAACAATAAAAGTTTAATGGTTCTTATTTCTTTTCATAACTATTATCAAATAAAAAAAAACCAAAAAAAAACAAAAAAAAACCAACCAACCAAAAGATTCATTACCTTTTTCTTGAAATCAAGTAAAATAAAACAAATATCATATTAACCATAATTTAAATAACAAATAATTATTTTTATCAAACTTAAAATGACTATAAATTAACACATATCTTGTTTAAAAAGTTTCTTATCTTAAACATTATTTTTAACTAGGTAAAACCTTTAATGAAATAACTAAGAGCTAGAGTAATACTCAAAGTCGTCCCCGGATGACCTTGAGAGTGATGAGTTTTTGGAGCGGTGAGTGGCTGGAACGGTGAAAACTGGAGTGATGAGCGGCTTGAAGTTTAACCTATAAGACTGTCTGGTCTACCGGATTACAACTAAAATGTCCATCATTGATGTTAATTTCATTGTACACATTCTCGCTGGTCAGTTTTTCATCCGTGCCTTGCAGTGGACTTGAGTTGCCAAAATGGCAATGTATTCAGATGATGACCTTTCGATTATTGCGCTGATTTTAGATAAAGAAGAGGAACCGGAAGTGAGAAAACGGAAGTAGGCTCATCAAGCATGGAACAAGAGAGGGACAGAATGTCCGACAGTTTACAAAGTGGACGATGGAGAAAAACTTTACTTGCTGCATAACATAAGAGTTAAGATTTAAAGCTCTTAATACATTAACAATAAACGCACGTACAATTAAATTGTTTCCGAAATGGTTTAATAAGTGAAAGTCGAACATTACAAAATTTACATTAACAGGGAGCATTTTGTGTACGAGAAATATTCACTGATTATATTAATTTTGATACTGGATCTCTCGCGAGGTTGTCAAATACCCCAAAAACCTTAAAACAATGTAAACTATTCATAACGTCAACGCAGCATCTATTTTCATTTCTGTTCCTATTTTACTCCAGAGAGTATGAAATCTGAGGCCACTTATTTTGAATTTGCCTGATCAAACAACACGTGATAATTTCGTACCAAGTCAATGAGTTGTTCGTTATTCATGTTGTACGGCCGTGAAAACAGTAAAATATCGTCAACAAGAAATCTGACCATCACTGTCCGATGACGACGTCAGCACGGTTGGCCGGTTGGCATGGCCACGGTGTGAACAGAGCCCGTCAGTTTCGAAAAACAATTCTTATATATACTATTTATATTCTTATACATTCTTATTTATTATATATATTCTTATACGTATGTATATTCTTTACGTTAAATATTCTTTATATTGATTTTGTATTTTAATTGTTCAAAGACACCTGTGGAACAAAATGCCGGTCACGGCACTGTGACATTACTGGTGTGCATGAATCGACCTTTACCCGTTGCGGCCCTCTTCCCCAAATGTTTAAACGAAAGAAAGAGAGAGAGAGAGAGAGTGAGAAGGTTTTGGTTGAAATGAAAAAGGCAGTGTCAGGGAACGGAAGGTCGTGGGTTCGAGTCCCGCTCGTCCCACTAATTTTATCGTCTCAAACAATATTTTACATAAAAAGTACATAAAATTGAAAGAAGTAATTTGGTCAATAGGCCACTACATATTCATGTTGTACGGCCGTGAAAACTGTAAAATATCTTCAACAAGAAATCTGACGATCACTGTCCGATGACGACGGCAGCACGGTTGGCCGGTTTCCAAAAAAAAATTATTATCTATACTATTTATATTCTTATACATTCTTATTTATTATATACATTCTTATACGTATGTATATTCTTTACGTTATATATTCTTTATATGAATTTTGTATTTTAATTTTTCAAAGACGCCTGCGGAACAAAATGCCGGTCACGGCACTGTGACGTTACTGGTGTGCATGAATCGACCTTCAGCCGTTGCGGCCCTCTTCCCCAAAAGTTTAAACGAAAGAAAGGGAGAGATAGAGAGAAAGAGAGAGAGTGAGAGAGAGAGAGAGATAGACAGAGAGAGAGAGAGAGTATATTATCGCCAATGTTATAATATGAAAATAGTTAATGAGCTTATTTTACTAACTACTAGAAAAATTTTTCAGCATATCGAATAGTTAATATTTTAATGTAAGGTTTTGGTTGAAATGAAAAAGTCAGTGTCACGGAACGGAAGGTCGTGGGTTCGAATCCCGCTCTTGACACTAATTTTATCGTTTCAACCAATATTTTACATAAAAAGTACATAAAATCGAAAGAAGTAATTTTGTCAATAAACCACTACATATAATGGATATCGAATAATGACGAATTTTTCAAATTACTAGAACTGTTTTAATAATGTAAACTTAGCGATTTTGCGTGTGTTATTTTGTCATTTTGCGGATGATGATGATGATGGATATTAGGAAGCGGGATTAATGCTACTTAGTCACTGCAATCATCCGGCTAATTGTACCCCTAGTTCCCTCGTTCAATGCAATCGACTCAATTTTTCCCAGAAGCTTCTGGATGTTAAAAATTGGTTTTTCGAAAGAACCCTTTTATAAAAGACCCATTTTTTTACGGCCGTCATACTCATCTTGTAAAACCTTCATATCCGCGAATCATACTAAGCCGACTCGAAGGCCTATTAAATTTTCTAATTTATGTAAATTGACGCTCGTTCTCACAATTTCTCAATCTCTTCGTTTTTCCTCGTTTCGATAACAAGGGCCGGAAGGGCGATGAAGTGAAAAGGTGGACCAATTAGAATTAACGATAGAAAGAAAAACAAACGTAGGAAAATAAAGTCATATTATTTTTCTTTCCTTAGAAGTTACTTTTTTCAATCTTAAACAATAAAAAAATCATATTTTTAAGAAAAACTTTAAAATAAAATTCAATAGTGCGTTTCAACATAATTTTCTTGTATTATAAACTTTCTATTTGATTACTTTAAATTTAATTTAATTTAAAAGTTTTAGGATACAATTGTGTAGTTAATGTTAATAATTAAATTTTGATATCATTAAAGGTAACGAAGCAAATACATTATTTACTCCATAAAGGAAATTACATTTAATGAATATGTTGTAATTGAAGCAATTCTAATTAACTAATTATACCAGGGATAGCTGAAAATAAATTTTACTCACTGTAGCAATTTTCGATTTGTAAACAGATGTGAGTTAATGACGCTGTTATTAATTTTGCTCATACAATTAGCCGGCTTGACTAAGAAACCGTTCGGGCCGTACCGTTATGCAACATACCCTGACCATGACCCTCCTTCATCATCCTCGCACTAAACCCTAACAAAATAATTAACCAAACAACTAATTACCTATTAATATTACTCGGTTATTCCATCGATTAATTTGTCAGCTTTCTGCCCGGATCCTGTAAACCTCCAATTAACAATACATATCCTGTCGGGTCTAATCCGATTTTCCTTCCTAAGCCATGGAGCAAAAGCGATCGAAATCCTGGGTAAGTAAACGGTTAAAAATTGTTTCTGTGAATTGCCCGTTGATGTGAGTAATCCTGTTTAAAGATCAAGATTAATTACCATTTAAGATTAAACACTCAATTTTAATGGATTAAGTCAGCACAAGTTTAATCTCAGTAATTTTTTTAATGTATATTTTAAACATAAAAAACTAAAAATTTAACCATGCGATAAATCCGCCATTGATATGATTTTTTATTATTGAACATGTTTCAACAGAAGTTTTGTTTTTCTTTATTTTAAACCATTAATTTATTTATAATGTGTGGTGATTAGTGACCGTTAATCGATAATTATTCATAAATCGTGAAATGGAATGCATTTATACAATGCAAAATTTATTTTTATATTCTATTTACCCTTACAAACACTACATTCATACAAATAAATACATTCATACACATAAAATATATCCATACAGTACACTCATTCCGTTTGGTCGGTGGAGTACTTGATATTCCTCCACCGACCTATACTTAAACTAATCTAGATTGGGGTCGATGGAGTACTTTTATAAATATTTCACCCTCACCCCTCGCCATTCACGCTAATACATGCACTCAGACAAAACATATAGACACAACACATAAGACATATTATATACAATAAAAAAACCCAATTTCCTCTAAAAAGCGGAACAGGGGACTCTGAAACTAGCTACCGTGTTCGAGAACTCTTCTTAAGTCCGGCGGCATGCCTACACGCTCTCTGTATGGAGCCAAAGCATGACGCGCCTCTATTATGCCAAAGCCCGCGCAGGTGCCCATGTGTCAACCGCGTATGGCCAATCCTCAGTCGGGTGAGGACGATCCCTCTTCTCCTGCTCAGGTTCTCTGAGGGCCATCCGGGAAAGCTTATTAAATGATGTTACGAAATTTTCCAAGATTTACTGTATATTTTTCCAACAAGGTTGAAAATTTAGTTTTTTATTTATTTATTTTTTTTTTATTGGCCTTATGATCTTGCATATTAGCCATAGTACGAATTCTTGTGTGTTCAAATTGGGGGTTATCGGGAAAAAAGGGCCAGAGGCGACGGTGGGAATCGAACCCACGACCGCGGCGTGAGAGTCTCTCATGCTAACCACTCGGCTACCGCGGTCCCCGAAAATTTAGTTGTTTTTGTAAATTTTAAATTTGGCAGCGTTGATGGCATAGAAATGTATTTCATTATATTCACTAATTTCGTGGTCCTCTTGACCAATTAATATTTTACAATTTTTATTTACAATTTTATCTCAACTAAAAACCTTAATTAATTGTAGTATTTCATTATATTAATCTTTTTGTGCAAGGTTTTGGTTGAAATGAAAAAGTTAATGTGAAGAGCGGGATTCGAACCCAAGACCTTCGGCTCAAACGGCCTCTGCTCTAACCAATTCAGCTATCGTGACAATTGACATCGTTAGAGCAGCGGCGTATTGAGCCGAAGGCCCTGGGTTCGAATCCCGCTCATGACAATTGCTTTTTCATTTCAACCAAAACCTTACATAAAAAGATGAATTAATTGAAAGAAGTAATTTGGTCAATTGACCACTAAATAGGCGATTTCATTATACATATATAGATAAACGTATATATAAATATATAGGGACTTATATATTTTTGTTTAATATCATCGTTTATTTTCTTGTATGCATGTTTGAAGTATGTGATTTAATTTTCTTAAATTAAGATTTAAAAATGTATTGTGGAAGAAAATGAAACAAGACTCCCCAGATTGCTTAGTACTATTAAGTTTGGCTTTAGTGTTAAGTAAAAAATATATAAATTTAAAGATATATGGAAATAATAAAGACTTACCTGTAATATTAAATATATAAAATAAAAACCAAGTAAAATTTGAATAAGCATAATGAATAATTAAGTGTTTATTCCTGGAAATATCGATGAGGGTTATTTTTATTTATTAATGTATTTTTGCTATTCTATTGACAATACAAAAGCGTGTAGTGTTAATAATTGAAGAAGACATAACTGCAGAGTTTGGAAAGGTCGTCGATTCTTCATTGTGAAAAAAAAAATTGATTTAATTTTAAGGTTAGTTGAACTTTTCGATCCGTCAAATTAAGATTATATCGAATCCCTCCCCCGTGGTTAAATTGAATGGATAACAAATAATTTGGGGGGTAGAGTTAAAAATGGTAATGTGCAATAAGCTTCTCTAGGGGGGGTCGAAGGGTGGAGGGGTCGTGGCGATGGAGTAGGGATGTCGGCGAGGATGGAACAGCCAGTGATTGCCGTGTAGTCTCAGGGTGATGGTGTCTTCTCGGCCGGAATGAAGTGCTACGTGTTATTTCTCCTTCCGATCGGCGTACTCGCCGGTTCGGATTTTCTCCGGATGTTCCCCCAAAGGCAGACGGCCCCTGTCGACCCGTGTTACGACGAAGACGGCCCGAAAAGGTGCATACCCGACTTCGTGAACGCCGCGTTCAACAACCCTGTGGAAGCGAGCAGCACCTGCGGAGCTTTCGGTCCGACCCGCTACTGCGACGCGCCAGACCCGGCGTCGTGTTCCGTGTGCGACGACGCCCAGCCTAAACGGCGGCACCCTGCATCTTATCTGACCGATTTGAACAACGCGAACAACGTGACCTGCTGGCGTTCGGAACCTCTGGTGCCTCCAACATCGGCCAATTCTCCTCCGGACAACGTGACTTTAAAGCTTTCCTTAGGGAAAAAGTACGAACTGACCTACGTCTCCCTACAATTCTGCCCCAAAGCCCCCAAACCGGACTCAATAGCCATATATAAATCCATGGATTACGGAAAGACCTGGCAACCTTTCCAGTTTTACTCCGGCCAGTGTAAGAAGTTCTACGGACGGCCTAACAAAGCGATGATAACCAAAGCCAATGAGCAAGAAGCCCTCTGCACCGACTCGCACAGGTTCACCGGAGACTCTCCGATTTCCTCTAGGATCGCGTTCAGCACCCTCGAGGCCCGGCCTTCCGCCGCGGATTTCGACAACTCGCCGGTTCTTCAGGATTGGGTGACCGCCACAGACATCAAAGTCATATTCAACCGGCTCAACTTTCATATAGAAGAGCAGGAAGACAAGAAGGAAGAGGACATGAAGGAAAAGGTCGTCCTCAACCCGGAGCAGGACCTGGCCGACGAGGCGGTCGTACCGCAGATCGTAACGACAACCCCGGCCACTATGTCGTACCAGTACGCCGTGTCCGACTTCGCCGTCGGTGGTCGGTGCAAGTGCAACGGTCACGCCAGCAAATGCGTCTCGACGGGCAGCGGCCAACTGTCCTGCGACTGCAAGCACAACACCGCCGGACGCGACTGCGAAAGATGCAAACCGTTCCATTTCGACAGACCATGGGGACGAGCCACTGCCAGAGATGCCAACGAATGCAAAGGTAAATTTTTCAATATAAAAATGAATGCGTTTATATAACCAACACGACTCGACGCACGGCTTTCTGAATATGGACTATCGCTAACTTTTACGTACGCTGATTCGACGTTTTCGAATCCGCGAGCGACAGCTCAAAGACTTCTGAAAGTTGGTATCATTTGTCCTTAGTTTCTGTTCTGTCACCTCGCTGTGATATTAAACAATTAATATCTCTCATGTTACAAATTAATATTAAAACTCTCACAAATGAATCACTTTTCATGTTTACATTCAATTACGAACGATTGATGAGGGCGAACACAATCTCAAAAGCTCAACTTTTTGCCTGGTTCGCAAAATCTTGATAAAAATTATCATATAATTACATCCCTTTTGAAATCATAGCGATTCCGAACGAACCGATGATTTTCTTCTATTAATTTCTTCTTCAAATAAATGCCAATTTTAAAAATAGGGGTGCAGCTTGATCATTTCTAAGAAAATCGCTTATAAAACCGAAACTATCTTTAAATCTTTTCAATATAAGTGTATTTTTTACATAATAATTTTAAATAACTTTTTTATGTTATGTTAGGACTTTTTATTAATTTTTTTTTAAATAATACCAAACACACGGAATTCTATCCTTGCTAGTTGGGTCTGCCAGACGCGTTTCAACAATTCGCCATCTTCAGTGTTTGTCGGACCTGGGTAATTTTTGTGAAGTCGAGTTTATGCAGTAGTGTCGCAAAAAAGGCTGATCATTAAAGATTTTGAAATGACGAAACGCGTCTGACAGACCCAATCTAAAAGGATAGTCAGCATCATCCGTGTGTAAGGTATTATTTAAAAAAAAGTTTAATTTAATAAAAAGTCATAACATAACATAAAAAAGGTTGTTCGAAAGTCAGACAGACGGACACAGCTAGGAGTTCAAAATGAACATATTTCAGGTTCATCAACTGGCAGAGAAAGAGAGAGAGAGTGAGAAAGAGAGAGAATGAATGAACGATTTATTTATAGAAATACATGATGTATATGTATGTATATGTCTTTATATTAATTATTTGTTTGCTTGTAATTTAATACAATTTATAACTATTCGAAAATCGTGAGATTTTTTCCTGGTATGACGTAGGTTTCAGAAAAACATTTTCTTTATCGTGCCAACGTTTCGATCTTTATTGAGATCATCATTGAGAGCCTGGGATTTACAAACATTGTTTAAATTTAACAAATACATGTAGGATGTGGAAAAAGTGAATTCTTAGGATAGGATGTGCAAAAAATTTTTGCATCGTATAAATTCACTTTTTCCACATCCTAGATGTGTTTGTTAAATTTAGTCAATTTTTGTAAATTCCAGGCCAGGAAGATCTTAATAAAGATCGAAACGTTGGCACGATAAAGAAAATTTTTTTTTTACCTACGTCACACCAGACCGCATCTCACGATTTTCGAATAATCATCGACTAACGGTCACTAATTACTACCAATTTATAACTTGCATAAAATGGTTGTTCAATACATTTCGACATTTTGAAAGCCCTTTCTGAATATTTATTATTATATTTGTTTTGCCGGCCGAATCGACTAATGTAAACAGTAATTGTTGCCGTTGACCTGTTATGTTTAACGATTTGCTAATAAAACCATTTTATTTTGGATTCAACGACTAAAACTGGATGGAATTTCTTTCCACACTAGCCGGCGGGGGGGGGGGGGCGTTAGGGTTTGCAAATTTTGATTTATCGTCGATTTGCATACGGAGAAGTAGCCGAGTTGCTTGTATGGCTATGGTGACCCGTGTCCGGCCTAGATTAAGGAAAAGCATCATCAGCCCCGCCCCCGATGCGATAACCCGACAATGTTGGGGACTACCAGGTCGTGTTCATCTCAACTAATAAGCAATTATTATATAATTTTTAAAATATAGTTAATTGTATCAGACCGAAGTATTACAGCACGTCGGAAAAGTGCGTATCCAAACGGGCTGTTAAATCGTCGTAAAATTGACCGGGAGCCAGTTTGCGGTAAATATCTCTACGATAATAATCCTATCGAATGTCCCCGCACTAAGGATTAGGCCCCGGATTCGCGGTTATTATTCCGGGTTTAGGTATGCTGCCTGGTTAAATACAGCCCATAATCCTATAAGTAGAAGGAAGCGTTTGAAAGCAAAAATAGGGACTAATCATTTAAGCTGATGCAGTTCTTTGATAAAATAACCGTGTTCCTCTCTCTCTCACTCTCTCTCCTTAAGTCTCTGTCCATTTCACACGCTCTCTCGCTCCCTAATCTTTTTATCTACATATCTATCTATTTATATATTTATTCCTTTATCTATCTTTACTCATCTTCATTCTATCACTCTTTTTACCATTGTAAACTATCTTCGTCTGTCTTCTTAAGTATCTCTGTCTGTTTCAAACGGTCTTTCTATATATCTGTCTATTTAAGTGTTTATTCTTTTATCTATCTTAATTTCATCTCTCTTGTTAGTCATTATTTCCATCTCTTTCTCTCTCACTCACTCTCTTTCTTTCTTTCTCTTTATCTCTCTCCTCAAGTTCTCTATCCATCTCACTTGCTCGCTCGTTGGCTCTCTGTCTTCTCAAGTGTCCATTTCACTCTCTGTGTGTCGTCTCTTTCTCTCTCTCACTCTCTTTCCTTTTCTCCTCTCTCTCTCCTTCTTTAGCCCTTCACCTCACTTGTTCTTTCTTTACCACCAACCATTCTCTCTCTGACCCTCCCTTTTTCTCACTCCTGCTCCATATTTCCTTCACCCTCCCTCGATGTAACTCTGTCCATCTCGATTCCTTTCTTTCCAATCTAAAACCCTCTCCTTAAGTCTCTCTTTTCATTCTGCTCTTTCTCTGTTTTTCATTCTCTTTCTTTCTCCCTTAGTATATTTCTTTACTCTTCTACTTCTGTACATTCTCTCTCCTCCTTCTCATTAACTCTTTTCTTCTCTTTCGCTCTGTTTGTGTCTCCTTGTCTCATGTCCTGTCTTTCTGTGTTAGTAAGTAATAAAAAATGAAGATCTGGTTGTTGCAACGATTAAATTAGAAGAAAATGATTCTTTAAAATGGAACGATGATTTAGGTAAAGATGTTGTTTTGGTATATTTAAAACATATGAAGCTGTAGCAATAAAAGTGTAATAATCAGCGTTATGGGGTGGATAACATGAAGCGTAATCCTTGGAATGGGCCGCTGTACACGGACGGCTATTTTTAAAATATTAATATTTACGATGCGTATGACGAGGCTGGGTTATTTACCGCACACGAATGGACCCGGGGTACAAATGCCGGAGGGGGTGGCCGGGTTAATTTTATGGCTGTTTGAATTGCTTTTATTGCCGGGGCGCGGTGCGAGACCCAGGGGATAAGCCGGGCGAAGTTGCCGATTTATATAGGCGGGAACTCAGGCCAAAGGAACAATTCCGAGGGGGATGCTTAAACGGACAGCGGCGGTCCTATACCACAGAGGGTTTCTTGTAAAGTCCGACTTTCCGCTTACCCGGATTTACAAAAACAAGGAGTTTCGAAAGGGTGCAGTTAAAGACATTCTTGTAACGAACAGAAACTTTACTGTTTATCATACTCCTTGCCACTCTTTTAACTCAATTGGATTATTAATCATAATTGTATGATTGGCATAATCTCTCGACATGACGTCTTATCTTTCCGCTAAAATTTTATTTGTTGCTGATACATGAACTCAAATCGGCTCATCCATGTACATATTGCATCCATAGACATAGTTGGGCTTATCATTTCTGGATGACCACCGGCAATTCGAGCAAAAGCTACTTTACAATGAATTACTACATACATTCTAATCAGTATGATGGAATACTCGATATTCTTCCATCACCATTTACATCTTTTATATCACTACAATAACCTAATTGAGGGTCAATGGGGTGCTCAATATTCCTCATCGACCCTTGCACTCTAAAAGACTATATAAATTAATAAATAAAATATCGATTTTTTCGATGAAAAAATGGCTTGTACAAATCGATATTTTTTTTGTACTACATTTATATCTCAATTTTTTTACGTATCCTTATTTCATCGAAATATAAACTTGTTTAGATGGGGAACTATTTTTTCGCTGTAGCACCTCTCGTACTACACAATCACGCTAATAAATACATTCACTCACTGCAGATACAAAAATAACATTACTATGTACAATTCACTATTTTTGGTGATCCGCTTGACCAATTAATATCGTTTAATTAATTAAGTTTTTTAATTGAGATAAAAAGTCAGTGTCACGAGCGGGATTCGAACCCACGACCTTCGGCTTGATACGCCGCTACTCTACCACTTGAGCTATCGTGACTTCGATCCACTCGGGCACTAACTTCCCATCTCAACCCCACCTTTTTGAATTTTCCCTCGTTTTTGTCATTTTATCTCAACTAAAAACCTTAATTAATTGAATGATATTAATTGGTCCTGCGTACCACGAAAAATAGTGATTTTAATGAATTAAAATGAAGTATACTTCACTAAAGCTCTCCGTGGCCATTTCATTTGTCGCCGAGAATCAAGTAGATTATACATTTGAAAAATGGCAAAAAGGAGGGAAAATTCAAAAAGGTGGGGTTGAGATGGGAAGTTAGTGCCCGAGTGGATTGAAGTCACGATAGCTCAAGTGGTAGAATAGCGGCGTATCAAGCCGAAGGTCGTGGGTTCGAATCCCGCTCGTGACACTTTTTTTATCTCAACTAAAAAACTTAATTAATTGAACTTAATTTAAGAGAAGCCGAAAAAGTACCATTTCTTCAAATATATTTTTGTCTATTTTAATCAATATTTTTTTTGTATAGTACGAATTCTTAGGTAAGGTTTTTTAAAATATTGATTCGTTAATTTTTGGCAAGAACTTAAATTTCTGATAAACTTTTACGCTTTTATTTTTTATATTTTCCGCTTCTAAGTTTTTTTATACGATTTTATTTCTATTTCAGAATTTTTTGTACATTGTGATTTAGCGTTAGAACATTTTAATTTTTTTTAAACCCTACTTCAGTAGTTTTTCGAGGTGATTTAGTTGTTTAAAGATGTGCCGT